AATGTAAAATTTCAGTGCTGCCAATATTGATAACATAATTTTCAATTCGTTCACAGTTCTTCACTTAAAATTATTACCATTGTTAAAATTATATGAGCTCTGAATCTCAGGTTCAGGTTAAGCTACAAGGCGAATATTTTAACACATTAACTGTTATATGTTTTTATAAGTACGGATATCCTAAAACCTAGTTTTAGGAACTTCAGAGAATAGTACTTTCAGATCGGGAAAGCTTAACATGTTTCAGTAGATTGAAAACTTCAGTTCTACAATTGGTGAAAATTGAAGAAATACGTTTGAAATCCTTCTGTTGTATGGAGTGATATTACTTTGCGAAAACAGTCAAAATAGTCAAAAATAACATTTATTCATTCAATTGTTAAGTCGTATCAACATTTTGAAAGGGAAAACGTTGTTATAGCAACAGAGCAAAAATTTATTGCGAACAGAAAACACAAAAGAAAACAGAATTAAAAACAGCTTCAATATGCCGAAACCAGTAACTTCTAAGTACAAGAAATTCTCGGCGGTCATAGACCCAAATAAACACGCGGCCAAGCTAAAAGAAATTGAGGAACGGCACGCGGAAGAGTTGGACATGTACTTTGGATATGAAGAAGAGGGCGAAGAGGAATGCAGTGAATTCGAAAATGTGGAGAGTGAATTCAGTTTATCCGAAGGGGAACCCGCTCTGCAAATCGGAAGAATTGATCTCTCGTTTCCCGAGACAAGGGAAGAGTTCCAGGACAGTCCCCAATGCTACCCACCATCATACTACACCCTGTCCCCGAAAGAGAGACTCCTCCTGCTCTATGCCGAAAACTTCCGCAAGCAGTTTGTACTGAACTATCCCCGCCGTCGTGCTTTGGTGCTGGCCCTGCCTAACGAATGCAATGTTCAGGTAATTGCGAGTACAAAATAACTCACTGAGCAGATGTAATACTGTTTATTGAGAGCATTCATTCATCCATTCTAATACAGAAATTCGTGTGTACCACAATAAGGCCGACAGCGTTTGCTTACCCAGAGCTGATATCAAGTGTTGAGGAAATTTCGAAGTTTGTTGCTGACTTTGTTCAATATGAGCCAATGGACGACGAAACTAATTTGGTAAGCCAACTTCACACACTACCAATACTCAGTTTTGAAAGAAAAGACGATACATAGAGTCTTTTCGGGAAACAAATATGATTGTTGAGCAAAGAATAATTCCTTCAATCGATTTAAAATAAGGCTCATATGTATCCACTAAACTACCAGAAACGGCAAAATCCCTATTATCAACAGTATGAGAAGGGAAAAAGTTGATACATTTAATATATGCCTATCAAAGACCCCAAAATAGAATTTACTTCTCTGTTTGGATTTCATGTATCTCAAATTATATGAAGCGGTATCTCCGATATTTGACCTTTGCCGTGGTATCCAAAATCTGTTGATTACAAAATGCTTGTATTCATCATATGTATATA